GAGAGAGAGAGAGAGTAAAGTAAGTGTTCGGGTTAAAGGACCACTAATAAATTGACATTCGCGTTTAATAGGTAATTTAACTAAATACACAAAGGCTATTAAATACAAGTAGTTTTGACAACCTTTATCTTTTGCTGTTTACATTTTTTTTATATGACGTAAGCTCGGTGATGTATGACCGTTTAAAAATAGACATAACTCATTTGAATAAAGGATCCCCCAGCAACGTAGAGTACTGTCAGTCACCGAGTTCATTTTTACAGCTATTTGGACAAACCCCTTAATAACTCCTCCCTGTTCAACTTTCATTTCCCGTTTTTAATGGGTGCGGGTCTCATTTTTATAGAGAAAAGCCTGTGAAAATGATAAAGAAAATATATGTGTCGACCTTAAAGCAGGCATTTCTAATACTGGTACAAACTGTCATGTGGAATATGCCAGGTGTTTAGGAATAAAGTGCCATCTACGATTTTTGTAACTGTGTCTAGAGTCAGACAGCGGAGCGAGAGCTACGGAATCCCCGCGATGACACTGGCGCGCGTGACTCACTGGCCAGGGATTTCCCTCTTTGAAATTACAAGATAGAGGTGCGAGGGTATCCCAGCCGCTAAAGCCCACTCTGTCGGACAGTTTAACCATAAAAATCAATCTTGTGTATCTGTAAATATGTGACCTTTGAAACTTTTGCGAGTGATGGAAGCATTGTTATTAGATAGCCTGCTTAAAGCATGTGAATGTCAGGCGTTTTCTACATCATTAACGTTTGGTGGTTGTTGTTGTTATTGTAACACATTTTCAACGTCTCCTCCACATTCATCTCTTATAACTAACACTTTGTGTCTAAATTATGTGAATTAATGTCAGCTACAAAGATGTTGTTACAATCTTCTCCAGTAATACCCCATTTGCTTATTAAAAATGGCTTAGACTTAGGGTCATCCCCCATGACCACTTCATTTTAATTTCATTTGACTTTTAATTCAATTAAAAGAACAAGACAATATGTATAAACGTTCTAAAATATATAGTAGACTGTGTGTTAGTCACATCTCAACTGTGGAAATTGTAGGTCAATACTGTCCTATATGATCTTTGTGGGTCCAATAGAGGTGCACTGGACAGCGTCCTGTGTGTGGATGTAAATACTTTATATTTTTAAAATTACTGTAACCTCAGAAGGGTAATGGTCATGAATGACAATGATTTCACTCTTAACTGGTTAAGCTGAAGTCACCCCGTGTTAAACCACTCTCTGCTTTCTCATACACAATGTAAATAAATCTAAATCGTTTATATGCATATTGAGACATTTTGATATAACTTTCTGAATTTGTGTATCTGTAAAGATATTATAACCGTTGTTTTAACTCCAGCTTTTTTCTTAATCTTTCAGAAATATAGAACTTTGTGTATTTCTGTGAGTCAGTTATACACAACCACATGTAATGTACAGGGTTGAGCAGCAGATTATCTTTCCTTTTAACTTTTTGAGTCCGCTTTAAAAAGTGAGACTGAGAAGTGGAGTAATTAAAATAACATGGAATGGAGAACAAACAAGAGAGATAAGGAAAGGAATGATCCCCTCAAGGTTATGCCCAGTGGAATTTCCATCTTCCTCTTTTGAATCCCCTTCATCATAAGAATTAGGCTACTTGGTGTTTTGCTGAAACCAGTTACTTTTCCTGTAAAGGGATACATTGCAGAATAAGACGCAAATCGTTCTTCTGTCTAAACTACAAATAGATAAATCATGCAACCAAAAACCTGTTATTGTAGTTATATAAAAAACAAACTATTATCAGAACATGGAGGTGCATAGTATATTCTGACATACCCATAAAATATAATAAAATAACTTAAAAGTGTTTCTCTTACACTACAATGTTTGAAAGAAATATCTGTGCGTAAAGAAGTAATTCAATAAATATCGATATTAGATCTGTTTTATTCCTAGTGGGGAGATGAAGTATTGCAGTTTAGCTGTGACCTATGCAGCTGATTTCAGCTCATTACTGCCACTCAGTGAAAAGTTAGGCAGGCATCAAATCTTACTCTGAATCAGTAGCATCTGTTCATACACCTCTGATGGGCCCCTGTGAAGGACGTACGTCACTGATGCAGGAAGAAGATGTGGTTTGCCACGAAGAGCGTAATGGAGAAAAGGAAATAGTTACAGAGAGCGTGCTGTGAGAACCGTCTCCGTAGACGCAGGGTTTCTGATGAAGACAGGTAGATGTGACCTCAGCACCTCTTTTCCAAATGGAATACCTTCCTCACGAGTGAGAGGATGAGAATTAAGCTCCTCCGGTGGAAATGTGTTTCTTATCTCACATTTGGGGTCACGATTTTGAAGAAACTTTCTTTCCCTCTGCTCTAGAATACGTAACTGATGCCCACTGGAAACCTCCGCTATTTGCATTCTTGTCTTCTTCAGTTTCTTTTGGTGACTAACACAAAAAAAATACATTTTAAGTCATACCAACACCTGTTATTAAAAATGGCCCTGGGGAAATCACATTACTGGAGAAATCAATCCGATTTACTTGAAAACAACAACAATAAATGTGCATCCAGCAAGATATGTTGAATATGGTTATATGATGTATGTTTTACTTGACTTGAATGCTTAAAAAGTTATTGTAAAACAAATGGTTTTAATAGAAATGTCAATACCCTGCTCACCTTCCCTCATTAATTATATATATTAAATATTTAGTAACATTTATTTTCTTTAATAAAATTATTTGTTTGGACAAGATTGTCACTACTTCTAGTAAATAAAGTTCCACCGTTATATTATTGTAATATAAATAGTCTCTTATGCTCACCAAGGCTTCATTTATTTGATCAAATATACAGTAAAAACATATTGTGAAATACTGTTACCCTTTAAAATAACTGTTTTCTATTCTAATATCTTTTCAAATGTATTTTTTCCCTGTGATGACAAAGCTGAATTTTCAGCATCAATACGCCAGTCTTCAGTGTCACACGATTCTTCGATGCTGATTTGGTGCTCTTATTATTGAAAAAAACAGTTGTACAGCTTAATATTTTTTGTTGATGATACTTTTTTTCAGGATGAAATAGAAAGTTTTGAACAGAAAGTTCAAAAGAGCAACATTTATCTTTACTTTCACATTACATCTATTTAATATGCTACTGCTGATGTATTAAACTTTTGAATGGTATAGGCTATATATCATATAACAGCATTTGAACAAAAAACATATTATCATAAATATAACGATGGTTTATTCATGTGTCCACAGCACAGAAGGAAAAGGCGTGTTACCCTCTGCCCACAGTGAAGAAACTCCTGGAGCAGAAGAGAAAGAGAGAGACCTCTTCAGCACCTCCCTCCTGCTCTACAGCATCTTACACTGCTGGTGGTGCTGCATCTGTCCCAGTGAGTTCAATTATTATATTGTCTTGAGGTTGATATGACCGACTTTAATCATCCTCCAAAATGTTTCCAACAGGTGTTGGCATCAGTACAATCTCCCACTGCCGGTGAGTCTGAGGGTTTTGCTTATAAAATGGGTCTTCGGTGACATTTAGATTTTCAATTAAATCTAAAAATGATACCTTTCCTTTGCAGGAGCCAGTGCAAGCTACACAGACATGGGAGCAGTTAGATATGACCGATGGGAAGTTCCCAGCATTCATCAGGCACATTCCTCCCTTCAGCAGTGCAGCCCGTTCACATTCATGTCTAGTTCCTCCATCACACCAAACTTTACCCAGACTGGACAGATGCTTGCCACTGGCTACAGCCC